ACTAATTCAATACACTAAATTACAAATGGCTTATTATGGATTTATTACCATAGATTTATACTTTTTTTCTTAAAAACTACCTGTATTTTATAAAAGGTATTCAGTGGTTCAGAGAAATTGATTATTTTAGATTAGTTAAGATAGTAGAATGGAACAGTTATTCAATAAGACAAAGTCCCTCTAACCTCTTTTCAAATTAAATTGAATGTAAAACTTTAGTAGACTGGCAAAATTTGAGATTTGTTGTGATCTAAACTGTGAAGTACATGTGTGTTTGGTGTGTACGACAACCACACCAATCTCAAGGACCTAAATGTTACTTCCCTGTGACTGATACCCGTAGGACCACTCGGACTTGTCTATTGGTGCTGCTGCTACCATGGCGCATGAGATTGGCCACAACTTCGGCATGAGCCACGACCACGACGGCTGCTGTGTGGAGGCCACTGCTGAGCAGGGAGGATGTGTGATGGCTGCTGCCACCGGGTAAGCCGCAGCATAAGCCTGATTATCCTGAGTCGCTGTACCCAAAAACTCCAACACACACTGTCATCGAAAACGAAGCAACCGCCCCATTAATCTGTTACTGAAAATTGCTGACTGCAAAATAAAAAAACACCAAATGCATGATTTTTTTTACAGCCACCAATCATTCTTAATTAATAGTTTTTCTTTCTTATTACTTGTTTAATTAATTTAGAAATAGAAAAAAAGACAAGAAAATAAGGACCTCTCTGTATTGCCCAGTAATGCCTTAAAGTATTACCCAGATACATCAACAAACACTGTTACATATAAGCCGAGTCTAGCAAAAAAATAGTCATCTGGCCACTGATTGTGTTGCTGTTTTTGTGTATAGGCATCCATTCCCACGAGTTTTCAGCCACTGCAGCAAATGGGACCTTGACAACTACTTTCAGAAGGGAGGGGGCATGTGTCTCTACAACATGCCCAACATGAAGGACCTGGTAGGAGGCAAGAAGTGCGGCAATGGCTTTGTGGAGGATGGAGAGGAATGCGACTGTGGAGAGCCTGATGTGACCACATTGTTTAGCTGCACTGTAAACTGTAAATGGTCGACCGACACAATGCTTTATCAGCACTGCAGGAGATCGTTAACCCACCTTTAGTGGACCTTTTCA